AAAACTGTACAGGATCTAAATTTACTTCGCTCGGCAAAATATCATGGACAACAGGTTCCAATGCATGGGATTGATTCATGACCCGCAATGACAACAAATTAGACATTCGGCTTCATACCATCTTGGTAGAAGTGTCTCATGCAAATATTCGATGGAACATTTGTATGATTCTGAGTTTTTGCGTGACACGCACGGCAGCGAAGGACCAGTGGTGGCAAAGGCACGCGCGCCGTCCGGGATCGAATCTCAAAGTGACTTGCTCGCTCGGCCATTCCATTCCTCCGGTGTCGATTATTGCTACTAGACACGTATGGCAGGAAAGAAGCGGTGATTTGAACAGCAGTGACTTTTACATTGGGTGGCCCCAGCAAGCCGTAGTGTAAACCATAAAGCCTGCAAGATGTTTAATCGAAGTACTTAGAATGTGTGGCGTATCCCGAAAATTGATTGATCACTGCAGGACGCTCTGAGCTATGGCTTGTATGGAGCGAACAAACAGAAGCTGAAGGCGATTGATCTCGGGTGCACAACTCATGCTCATGAGAAAAGGGAGTGAACTACTTCTCATCACAACCATCTAACCCATATGTTTTCATAACTTTCCAAAAGGTTCCTCTTGAAAACTGCCTGGCTTTTGCTCTGTATTCGTAAATAATCGAGGGAACTCAAAGAAAAAAGTTATTAATTGAAGTCATCGAAGAAACTCACTCCAGGCATCACCACCCAAACTCCGACAAGACGATCCATACATTTCCGCCAAAGTCGTGGCTTGAAATACATAAGAGGAAGCAGAGGAGTAATTATGAAAATTGTTCCTATAAATTGCAAGCAATTTAATAGACGTAACATAATAAATAAACACTTATAAAAATTGATTGAAAATAAATAGTCAAAATTTAGAAAAAAAAATCAACAACTCGATATCAAATAGTGGGCGGTAATAACCTAAGGGGGAGGGGAGCACACCTTTGCGCGGTTGTTAGCATACCAAATCTTGTAGACTGCATACATGTGAATACCGGACAACCTTGTTGACACCTTGTAGGCCTTGCTATCACCTGTCAAGCACCCTGTAACCTCCATGTCAAATTTGTCAAAACGACTGGATCAAATGACTGGACAAAACTTTTTTTAAAAAATGAAGAAATAGCGCTCAATAACGCACTTAACTCGAAACCCGAAAAGGGTTCAAAGGGTAATCGATAGGAGTTTAAATTACTTGCAGGGTCAAACGCGACAATGAAAGGACGAACGAAAAAACAAAAATAAGGAATAGGGCACTGAAAAAGCTTACAGTTGTAGTATATCCTATGTATATTGCCGCTGCCCCCCCCCCCCTGAGAAGAGTATTAGCGCCAAGACGTGTAAAGAGCCAAAGATATTGGTAAAACTCAAAAACTCACCAAGTAGAGCAGAGATCAACGTGAAAACACAAAATAACCATCCCCGTAATCGAATCCAAAATGGCTGATTGGCTGATACCCT